CGCTGTCAAGATTTAGGAGGAACTGTGTGCTGGCTGTGAGAGTTTGGAAGGCGGGGGGGGAGAAAGGGTAGGAGCAGTTTGTAGCACACTGAATCTACTCAGGATTTCAGCTCAGGGGGGGGGGGGGACTCCTCAGGGTGCTTAGCGAGGCACACAGTGGAGAGAAGTTAAGGGAGGAAAGGAATGAGAGAGGAGAGAGAGGGAGCATGCTGCAGAAGTGGGCTACTCCTGCTACCCTGGTGAGTACAGTTCACATAGTTTTTGCTTTGAATGAAGTGTGTGTGGGAGCCGGAGAGAGTAAGCGTGTGTGTGCGTGTGTGTGTGCGTCCTGAAAGCTTGTCTTGTTCTATCACATTATGCCATTCGTAAGTGCGTACTGCGTCTGCCCTACTTTTCCTGCCATCGTCATAGCTTATTTCTCACATTCGGTGGCGTTCTAAAGTATTTCCTCTGCCTGCTTCTCTTTTTTTTTTGTACTTCCTTTTTTCTTCACACATTTCTCTCATTCCTCTCAGGCTCCCCCTTTTCTGTCTGTCTGTCTACCTCCCCCTCCCTCCCTCCCTCCACCCGCCCCAACCTCAGGGTTGTCGAGGGGTGAGAAAGTGCAAGTCATGCAACACTGCCTGAAGTGTTTGTTTTTAAAAGTGTCTCTCTAATTTGTTTTCTCTCACAGTCATTTGTTTCTCTCCATCTCCGTATCTCTGTGTTTGTGTAACTCTTAAACACTCTCTCACTCACTCACTCGATCACTCTTGCTTGTCCTTTTTCCTCCACTCCCTCTCTCTTCTTGCCTCATCCCCTGCTTCTCTAACTTCCCGTCTCCATCTGTCCTCCATTACTCCCTCACTGTCTGACCATACTCCCATGTGTGCGTGTGTTTGTTGTTGTTTGTGTGTAGTGGAGAGTGGCAGCCTTGTCAGAGTTCCCAGTCTGGCAAGGGTCCCTGTGATGTGCACACACACACACACACACACACACACACATACACACACACACACACACACACACACACACACACACACACACACACACACAGCACACACACACACACACATACACACACACACACACACACACACACACACACACACACACACACACACACACGCACAAATGCACGTATGCAAACACACACACACCCACACTAATGAAAAACCACAGAGAGGAAGAAAAAGAGAAGAGAGAAGTATAAGCCTGCAGCAACACTGTACTTTCCAGTTGAACTAAATTTAGAAGTGAGATAACACATCACGTTGGACTTATCCCTTTGATCATGATTATGACTAGGCGATCACACACACACACACACACACACACACACACACACACACACACACACACACACACACACACACACACACACACACAGAGTTAGCTTCAACAGAATTATGCAGCACATTTGCACCAGTCTTGATATTGATGTAGCATTTAGCTTCATGGTTATGCAGACAAAACAGTGACATGTTGGTTCATCGATGGCTAAAGAACGCAGGGTTGTGTGTGTGTATAATTATCTGGTGCATCACAAGACACAAGGCAGCGTATTGTGTAACCTGCTGTCTGTGTTTGGCATGTTGGGATGTTTCACGCTCACATGCTCAGACTGAGATCCTGCTTTGCTGATAGAAAATATTGGCCTCTTGATGTTTCTACAAAAACTTTAAAGAAGCCAAAACATTTCCAGATTCCCTTACACAAAGCCTGTTTACTATAAATCTCACTACAGGATGTTGATATCACAAAGCAGTGCAGTGTTTCCTCTAGGTTTACAGCTTTGGGGGGGTGGGGGGTGCGGGAAGACAGACGCCAACACAAACACTTGAAGGAATCTTGGTGTTCATGTGTTACTTTTAATGACAGCTGTCCTGTTCTATAGGAAAGGTATCCTTAAATGACTTATTTCCCTGATTTCCGACTCTATACCCTATACTATCCCTACTATAAAGACACAAAAGCCCAAAAGTAAACTGCTTTTTACTTTTTTTTTATTATTTTCTTTTTTATTTAAATTAGCTTTTTTTTAAATTACTTCCCAGCCAAGAGTAAAATTCTGTGTGAAGTCATGGTGAGCTGATGGACAGGAGGTAATAGTCAGGAGTGAGCAAGTAGCTGGGGCTGATGGCACTTATATCATGCAACCCATGGGAACTTCAGGCAGATTATGAAACTGCTTCATACTCTTTTCTCTACTATGAATATGTCCAATTATACAAAGTATTTATATAAAAGCAAAAAGTAGACATTTAAGGCGCCATCTTTGATTTCTGCAGCATCTTGTATACATCATGTCTTGCCTCCTGACCCCCCAAAAAGTTTGTTTTAAACATTTTCCCCTGCAGCATTTACTATGTCCCAAACATCAGACAGTTTGAGTATGTTATAATTCATCTCTATGTTTTCTTCATGTAAAACATAATGTTCAGCTGTACCATATAATGGACCTGATTTTATTTGTGCGTTTTTCTGTTTGTATGTCAAAGAATGACACATACACACCCCCACTGGGTTTTTTTACCGTAGAAGGAGAGTAGTGTGTATACTGCACGACTGAATGATTCAGGTTACTGACTCACACACATTGTTTGCTCACTGTTACTTGTGTCCCAGACAACACACACACACACACACACACACACACACACACACACACACACACACACACACACACACACACACACACACACACACACACACACACACACACACACACACACACACACACTCGGTACTTTGGTAAGGTCGGTCATTGTATTTGTGAATGTGTGTGAGAGTGAGTGAGAGAGACTCAAGCACATGGAGGACAGACAGCTCTGGTTACAGGTCATCTGATACACACACACATACACACACACACACACACACACACACACACACACACACACACACACACACACACACACCCACATACAAGCTGCAACTCAGCAAGATCCAGGTGACTTAGCTTTTCAGTGAATGTGTGTTTGAGTGTCAGTTTCAGTGAAGAAATACTCTCTCTTTTGGCAATGTAGGTCACTTGTGCTGGTCTCTCTCTCTCCTACTCTCTCATTATGTCCTGAGCATGTCTTCCCTCTTAAATTCCCTCTTATGTTGCTTTCTGCCTCTTTTTCCCTCTTATATTGATCCGCCTTGGAATTTTTATTCATTGATTGTTGCTGCCTTTTCTTTTTCTTTTTTTAAAAGTCCACTTTTTGGATTTCATTAAGATACTGTAGGACAGTGGATAGAGTAAAGAGAGAGTGGGGGAATAACATGAAGGAAAGGAGCCACAGGTCAGAAGAATACCTGGCTCAGTTATTATAAGTGTTACTGTACCGTAAAGCTCAGCAGCTGCAGACTACCATACAATATAAACTATATATTTCTAAATGCATATTAGATTTTTTCTTGAATTCTCAGACACCTTTTATCACATGCCAGTGTTGATCTGTCAGAAGCGACTTGCCTCTCTCTGATAAAAGCTCTCATCAATGGCAGCCTGACAGATCTGCTGCTGGATGTACACACACAGCAGCGTTTGATGTGACAGCTGATATGAAATGTCTCTAATCTGAGAGCGCTCATACACATACAACATTACTTTTATCTCAAAGTGTTAATTTGAGCACATGTTTGTTAAATTCAAACAAAAGACTTTGCCTTTGTTTTTCCTTTTCAATCTATCTACAGTGACTGACTTCATGACGCAGCATGAGCTGTAGGTGTGGTGCAGGGTGGATGCCAGGAGAGAAGAAGCATAGACATATGGAGACAGTAGATAAAGAACACAAAACCATTAGAGGGAAGAATGATAATTGAGAAAGGAGTTATAAAGGAGGAGAGGAGTAGGAGAAGATTGGAGTGGAGGTAGACTGAAGGAGGGAGAGGCGGAGAAGATTGCATCTCACAGATCTACAGCACTTCTGAGCACACCTCTGAGTCATGCCTGCTTGAGTGAGCAGATGGTGTGTAGAAGAGAAAGCATGCATGCTCTAACTATAAAACAAAACCCGCAGGTTGCTCTAGTACAGTATGTGCATATGTGTTTGCGTGCGTTTCCTCCTACTCCTGTTTCAGAAGTGTGGTAGTATGGCACTGTGACATTTTAAAGTCACATGAATCTGCTTGAGAAGCAAGGCACCCTTTGAACCTACAGAAAACACACACAGGCAAACACACACACAGTGGGTGCAATTCATATTGAACCAAAGGACTAGTAAACACGCCTCAGGACATTTCAGAGGTGTTGACCCAGTCAATTTGGATTAAAGTTCAGATCTCTGGTGGCTTTGCAGAGACAAAGATCAGAGTCATCACTGACACAAGGGGCTGTGTGTACGAGTCTAATAAGGGTAAAGTTAGCAACCATTGTGGTCATGTGTTCAGTGATGTCACCAGAACAGTTACATGAATGTCTTTTGTATGCTTTAAAAATCACTCCGCTCCATGTCTGGAGATTCTTAGTGTGCCCAATGAACGATAATAAACGCCTCAATGTTATGTAATCATGTTGAACAAGAGGCTTCTGTTGCTCTGATAAGATAGCTCAACTACAATATGAAGATAAGTTCCCCTTGTTTGCACGGCAGAGCAAGATATGAAGCCAACTTATAATCACTAATTCTTGTTTGAAGACTGATTGGTTATTGGCTGCCTTAGACTTAAACAGCATTAGTGTGTCATTAGTGTCTTCTTGATAATAATTAAATGACTTTTAAAGAGGACTTCTACAGTATAAGATAGATTTCACATCTTTTAGGTGGAAGGAAGCTTTGCCAAAAAGTAATTATGAATATTTTTTTCAGACTTAAAGTTCATATGTGTCTTATGTTTATTTAGATAATTGCATCATTTGTTATCACATTGCAGAAGTGCTCTTTTTAGTTCTTCAGGTTGAAGTATGCAAATGTTAACCTACTGGCATTGCAAACTTTAAACTGAGGCGATAACTTGTCATATCTTGTATTGCATTGTGTGTGTTGTTGCTGCAGGAGAGCTCTGCTTGCTGTGCATATTTTGCACAAGTTTGAAGTGCGTTAGTCAACTGATACTCGGCCCACTTTCAAGTGTGCAAATGTGACGTCTTTAAGTTTCACAAACACATGAGCAAAGTGTTCGTGCTTTAGTGCACTCAGGGTGCATTGTGTCAAGAAAAGAACGCCTGTCAGCATAATTGAATATACCCAGGTGTCAGTGTTTGAGTAAGCAAGAAGGTGTGTGTAGGGCATATGTGGATGAATGTGTGTTGTTGTATGTGTGTGTGTGTGTGTGTATGTGTGTGCTAGAAATGCTTCTACATTATTTATGTGATTCACACCCAGCTCACCATCTTTTACAGCAGGGGGTCTTCGCTAACAGATGGCACACATACAGTTGGTACACACTCACACAGTATATTGGGAACAGCACAGACTTTTCATCAAAGGTTTAAGTACAGCAGATGCTGGAAACTTGAAATTGTTTTTATTATTGCTGTTATTGGTTCACATTTCTTAAACTGCTTAGATTATTGTCATTGCTTACTCTGCTTCAGTTCTTTTGCTCACCCACTCTTAGGTAACAAAAACATCATAAACTAGCAAACTCGAAGACGTACGCTACAACACTAGACATGTTTCATTTAAAGGCTTTATATGTGATTTTTCACACTTAAATGTAATATAAATCAAGTATATCCTCTGAAAATAACTCTGTGAGTCATGACTGTCTACAATGGGTGTAACACCCGAGTCCCACTGTCTGTGATGCTTTCAGAGTTTTCAGAGTCCTATCTTCAGTTTGTTTACATCGCCCGGACGGCCGGCTGACTCCTCCCCTCGTGTATAAAAGTTGTTTAATTGAGGGACTAGAGAAAAGAAGAATAACATACTGTACTCACTGCTTAACTGTGTTTCTAGATCACGCTCATTTCAGGTAAATTTACATGCAGTGTAAAGATATGAGCATAATAAAGATCACTAGCATTAGCATGCTAACACAACAATGCAGCGCGAGTTGTTTTGGTTTCATGCTGGTGCTCAAGGGCGACATCTGCTGGATCAAAAAAATCACATATAAAGCCTTTAAGCCTTTTTTACAGATTTTCCTTTTTTTTTTTCCAACTTCTTCACATGTAGTCCGTCCATTTTCAAATTTGACTCGTGATATTTTTACAAATACAAATTACAGAATCCATATATGACACTGCTCATAATTCTGTCACAGTTCATTTTGTTCTCTAATGGCCTACTTCATTTGAAATGGCTCTACTGTAGTGACCAATTTATGTCCATTTCTCACTCATCACCTCTTTGTTATTCCCCCCAGCAGGCTCAACAGCATTTCACTTCAAGGGGATGCTGCAAGCTTTTACTTGTCGCATGGAGACATTTTGTTAGCTTTTGTAGGCAACTGTTGTTTTTTTTTGTTTCTTTTAGTTATTTGACGATCTCCTTAACATCTTGTTGCATCTCATGGCTTCTCATCCTTCAGAACATCATTGTTCCCTTGAAATACTTTAGTTGAATCTTTAGGTGCTATTAGTTATCTTGGTGGTGAGTGTACTTGTGTTTGTCCCAAGGCCTAGTTTTTGTTATGAAGCTGTTTGTTGGGTTCTTGAGTTTGTTGATGCAGGGTGTCGTTGCTTGTTTGTTAAAGTTGATGGAGGAGATGTAAAGGGCAACAGTTTCTGGATACGTGTTGGTCTTTGAACTGATTTGGCACGTTTTGGGTGCAGTATGTGATCGAGAGTACTTTAACTTACAAAAATTATAACTGAAAAATGATGAACAGCAGAATTAATTACTGAAACCAATAGCTGATGAATTTGTGCATTTTTAGTGAGTAGCATTATTTAAGGACTGTTCTGTCTTTACGGTTTGCTGTGTTGGTTAATTAAAGTGGCAGCCCAAAAGCCTAACTTTTGTATTTACATATTTATCTGTTTTAAATCCATAACTTTCCCCTAATGCTCCTCCTCTCTCTCTTTCTGTCCCACAGGATTGTGCTGGGTGCCGGCAGGCTTGCTTTTGCAGGGAAATGATTCCACATGAAGTGCGACGCACTCGGCCCCCTGTCGTCCTCGGCGGCAGCACTAGCAGGTGTGATGTCGTGAGTCTCTCCCCTACCACACTGAGCTCACCCTTCAGCCACTGAAGACCCCTGGACCAAAGACTGCCCTACCCCTGCCCCCTTACCGCCTCCCTCTCAATAACCTTCATCTCCATCTTTAATCCTTTCTCACCTGCTTGTTAGGGCCTGGATTTTCTTTGAGATCTGAAAAGACCTGATTCAAAGACCTTGACTGTACTGGATAGAGGGTGAAATAGAAGAAAAAAACATTGGCACAGTTAATTCATAGTAAATCAGATTGACATACAAGAAAGACCAGCAAAAGTGAGAAAAGGAGACAAGGAAAGTAAAACAGAAAGGCACCAAAAATAGAGAAAAGGCTATAGAAGTGCAAAAGTTAAGGAAAGATTAAGAAAGCACAGTTGAGGGAAGTCAGCATGAAGTCCAACCAGGAACGCAGTAATGAGTGTTTGCCCCCAAAGAAGAGGGAGCTGCCCTCTAGTACATTAGCATCTGAAAATCGCTCACCCACAATACCACCTGCCAGTGACAGCCAGCGCTCAGAGAACTTGGCGTGGCTTGCCAGTGTGGCTGGTGGGAATGAAAGTGGTGTGGGTGGACACAGTAGCTCCAGTCAATCTGATGGAGCCCAGTATAAATCCTTCTTCTCTACATCAGACTCTTCATCCTCTTCTTCATCACTGAGGCTAGTCTCATCTCTTCCAACAGTGTACACATCCCCCCTGTCACAGACCACAGTTGGAGGAACTGTCCATTACGCCCAACTGCCTCCCAACCTGCAGTTCATAGCCTCACCCTACCCCACCCCATATGCAGGCTACATCTCCCCTCAACTGCTTCCACCTCCTCCCCCACCTCCACCCCTTTCCTCTTCCTCCTCCTCTTTCGCCACGCAGAGATCATCACATATGGAGACGGTCCTTGCTCCTTCACAGGCCTCCAAACATGACCAGCAGAGAGCATGCATAGGGCGTACCTCCATGCCTCCTCCCCCCACAGATCCTGCCCCTCACCACGCTCAAATGTCGACCTCCCCAAGGACTGTTCCGTCGCATCATTACCAAGGAGGTGTTCATCTTTCTCCCGGTGCTGTGCACGCCCACCACTCTTTGGGACATGGCTTGTCCCAGGTTGTGGTGCAGTATATGGACGGGCCTGCAAGGAAAGAGGAAGGTGGCTCCAGACCCAGAGAGCTTCACAACGGAGAGCTGGAAAGGGGTCGGCGGTTTGGAGCGTCCCCCGAGTCCGGCCTCTCCAAATCGGGGAGCAGATCACGGGAGTCCGCCTCTTCTTTGACCTCCTACGAGGCCCACCAGCTGGTTCTACCATCAGACTACTCTCCTCATGATCCCTCAGGGTTGAGAACATCCGTTATGCTAATGCCCAACAGCCACGTAGACCACCAGCTGGTATCGTCAAGACCCAGCCCAGATAAACGTTTTACCTCGGCCCCTGCACATCTGGAGAAAGGGGGCATCCTTCTGGGCAAACCTGTTCATCGAACGCCAACCCCCTCCAGCACCACCTCCTCTTTTACGTTTCCAACGCCATTGAGTGTCAACAGTCTTAAAGCTGCTGCCAGCACTCTGTCACCCCAGACCGTTATTCAGACTACTCACAGTGCTACAGAGTCTCTATCCATGGGCCTTTCCGCCACTAGTATCTACCCACAGCCACCCATCATTGGTTACATTGCAGGGAGCAGTGGGGGCCAGCATACACCAATTAGCTACCACACCAGCCTACAACAACACTTACTCATTCCTGGCGCCCAACCGGTGATTATCCCTGTAAGTGGGGGTGGAGTTACCACATTGGAACCAGTAACATCATCCACCCAGGCTGCACCGTTTCCCACCACACTCCCACACACTTACATTGCCGCCACTGCTCCCAAAGGAGAAACTCTGGAAACCCACAGTGGCTCGTACCACCAAGCCGCTTCAGGTGCAGTGGTCCAAGCCCAGCTTCACCTTCCCCTTGTTCCCGCATCGCCGGGGCTGGCTGCTCCTTCAGCTCCTCCTCAAACATCGAGTACAGCGGCGCCCCCATCACTGCCCCCGTATTTCATCAAGGGTTCCATCATCCAGCTGGCTGATGGGGAACTTAAACGTGTGGAGGATCTGAAGACCGAGGACTTCATCCAGAGCGCCGAGATCAGCAGTGACCTGAAGATCGACTCGTCCACGGTGGAGCGCATCGAAGGGAGCCACTCCTCATCCAACTTTGCTGTGGTTCAGTTTTCTGTTGGTGAGCACCGTGCACAGGTGAGAAACACGGAGCAATTTTGATTGAAGGTATCCCTCATCATTTTGGCCTTAGATGTTGTTGGTCAATGTATTTAACTTTAGATGCTATCGCTATCATGGCTGTGAATAAGCGAGGAGCAAAAGCCAAGGGCAGATTAGCTTAGCTTAGCATTAAAAGAGAGTTTCAATATATGAAATAGATCTACTTACTTTGGCAAAGCTCACTTGAAAGTAATGTTTAATCTCCTATTCTCAATGAATGAGAAATAAAAATCAATTTGTGTTTTTCCAGGGGCTCATGCTTGAAACCTTCGAGCAATAACTTCCTTTTTATTTTTTTTATTTTGCAGAACTTGTTTTTTCTTAACTTTATAAGTTACTGAAACAGCTATAGTCGGTGCAGGGTATTTCCCAACAAAGAAGATGATCTGTTATTGCCATGCTTTTGTTACACAGCCATGAGATTGGTATTTTTCAACTCTCTGCAAAAGCGTACAATGATTCTTTAAATGCTCTTGATCGTATTGGTGGTCCACAGTCTGTGATGCTAATTATCGGGACTCATTATAGTGACTGTGCTGGAATCTTTAGATTAATAGTTATAATTGGTTATATAATATGAAACACGTTTTTACAGTCCTTTCTAAATATCTAAGTTTAATGCAGTGCCAAGATTGTAGGCCTGGTTGTGGTTGCGCGAGTGAACGATGACTGTTAATGAGATCTCTTACAAGGCTCTCATGTATAGGCGTCTCTTATACTGTAGGTGGTGTTATTAATCTTAAATGACATGTGTTGAGCTGCTTGCTTATTAATGAATATAATGGTGATTCTCATGGGACTATGCTATTTCCTCTGTGATTAAGTTCAATGTACCACGATGGCAGTCATGTAACTTACATGTTCTGATGATGAGCTTCAAAGGGGTTCAAAGTGTTGAGTATTTGATCTTTTCATCTGGTTTCATTTCAATTATTCAGTAAATCTATAGGAACATGCGTTGCACACGCATTCCTACTGCTGCACGTAGTGCTTTGCAAAGTTTAGCATTTTGATTATGTTTTTTTAAAGGTAATAAATGCGTCCTTGTGAAATAACTAAAGCACAGTAGTAATTGCAATAATTGCTCAGGGTTCATATAGTCACATACAACTATCTGTTTTAGAACTCAGCAATCTCTTCAATCTTGAGGAAGCATCTACTTCCATGCATCAATATGTCCTTCTGTTTCCTGACTCCAGTTCTTTGTAACTCCTTCAAACACACTTACACACATTAATATTCTTACAAACTCACCCTTCACGCTGTCTTTGCGGGTGTGCGTTAAAACCAGTTAATCTATTTCATCTGTCCAAGCTGTGACTCGTCCACCCACACAGCACATCTCTAGCCATCTCTCCCGCCCCCGGCTGCTCTTTGATACTATACCCCACAAAACCTGACAATTTTTCAAAGACTTATCTCTCTGTCTCTCTTGTACTCCATCAGTGGTTCTTGCGGTGGTAGCAGCTTTGAGTCCACACTCAGAGGACTCACTGAGAAGTCAAAAATTATATAATACTGGAGGGAAAAATATTGCTTGACGTTTGCTTTGAGAGGGTGTGTGATACATCTTACACTTGAATCGTTCTTGACAATGTTCTCTCTCTTTCACTTTTTTCCTCACTCCTCTTCTTGCTCAACCCTCTTCCTTTGTAAAAATTGCCTTTTCATCTCCATCTATGTAGCTTCCTCCAATCCTACCTTGTCATTCTCTCTGCAATATTTCAGATCATCTTTCACTTCTTTCACCTGAGATTTATTATCTCTCTTGCTTCCCTCCCTTAATTTATCAAGGGGTAAATTGATTCATCCTGACATTTCACCATCATGCTACACATCCGAATGATAGTGCAGATCCAAATCAGTGCTAAAAGTACAGGGTTAAATCTAAAAGTAATCCAGAATTGATATTCATCTACTTATGTTTTGCCAACAATATCCAACTCTTCCTCTCACACCAATCAGAGTTATTAAATAATTTTCTGGTCGAATAAAAAAAAAACCCACGTCTCAAAACTTCTCTCATGTGATTTCAGACGAGCAGCAATCTCTCTGTCCTTGTTTGTGAAAAAAGAGGTGTGTGTATATAAACATTTATGAATTATTGTTGAGTATTTGGTATAGGAAGTGTTTGTTCTATTTCAGGCCTGTAACTTTTGATCCCAGTTTTGTCAAATGACAGGCAGTCCCACCCATTTAATCACTTATATTGTGTTATACACAATGGCTCTTTGAATAATGTTTTAATCAAATCAAGCAATATCTAAATAAGAAGGTTGTTGGCATGAGTATGCACTGCAGTGGTGAGGACGGTCACCTTACAGCTATAGGTCAAAGCAAGAAGGTTCTGGTTTTGAACCCTTCCTTTAGCATGTTCTCCCTGTACTGGGTTCTCTTTGGGATGGGAAACCTTCCACAGTCTGAATAAATGCTAGTTTGTCTAAAAGGTAATGCCTCTTGTGCATGTGCATGTTTTCATGTCTCTGTGTCAGTCCTGTGATTGACTGTGACCATAGACTGTATAACAAAATGCACAACATGACAGCACTCGAAAAGTGAAGCCAAAACATTTGGGCGCCTCCCTTTGGACTGGCAGCTTTGAGAGGAAACATAACCAACACTAACAAAACTGTCATTGAACTTTTTATAACTATGAGTGTCCACTTTAAACTGAAACAAGAATCTGTTATGCCGTGGACTCTACTGACCTAAGGATGTTGTTTTTTTTAAGGTTATTGTGTGTTTTGGATATGGGCTTGGCAGCACATCAATATCACGGCTCCAGCAGCCATGCTGTTCCTCACAGACTGGCTCCAAATGCACAAGATGTTAATGCCTGCAGTGGGGGTATATTGGCTTCACTTGTGTAAAAATGAAGGAGTTAGAGACTTGATCTTTATTTTCAGTCAATGAGAGGGGACCTGTTCGTGGTATAAACCTTCCCTGATCCTCGAATGATAAGGGTAATTGATGTGGATAAGTGATGGTTGGGAGTTTATTAAGTTCAACCAAAGCCATTTAAACCAGTGAGCCACTGTAATTTTCTTCAAAAAAATAATCACTGAGAATTTTCTTGTACACTTCCTTGCTGCTTTTCTGGTGCCAAATATAATATTTAGTAGAAAAACAAACATGTATGTGGTGTTCATGTGTATTTGTGTATTTGTGTTGATGACTCCTTCTACCGTTTACATCTCCAGGTGAGTGTGGAGGTCTTGGTGGAGTACCCCTTCTTCGTCTTTGGCCAAGGCTGGTCCTCATGCTGCCCCGACCGGACCACCCAGCTCCTTGAGCTTCCCTGCACCAAGCTTTCTGTGGGCGATGTTTGTATTTCACTCACACTCAAGAACCTGAGGAACGGATCTCTAAAGAAGACTCAACCCGTGGAGCTGCCCCCACCTGCCTCCGTCCTGGCCTCTAGCCACGGGCACCTCAAACCCCACCGAGCTGGATCAGACGCTCCCCAAAGCTGCAGTGGAGGAAGCTTCAGGCACTGCGAGCGGGAGAACGGCATCAGCCAGAGGGGGAAAGGTGGAAGTGGAAATGGCAATGGGAGAGTTGGGGGCAAGAATGTGGAAAATGGTGATCTTAAGGCAGAAGCCGGCCCTAGTAAACCTTCAGGAAGCAGGAAAAGGAGATGGTCTGCCCCTGAAGGTCGAAAAGTCGAAAAAACTGAGGAGGAACCACCTTTGACCCTGCCCAAACCTTCCTTCATCTCTCGTGAGGTGAAAGTCAGCATTGAGGGAAGGTCAAATATTGGCAAGTGAAGGCCAGCAGGACATAAATGACCATTGGAACTTGGAAATAAAAAACATCAATGGATTCTACAAAAAATGAATGCCCACATTAATGTCTCATTTGTTTTGGTTTCAAAGTTTTCTGTTTTTATTTTTCTATCTTAAATACTGTACTGTAGAGGTTAACGTACCCTACTCGGTGTCACCTTACATTAAGTCCATGTACTTTATAACACATTTTTATCGTTAGGTTTGATATCACACAAGCAATTAGTGCTGATTTGGAAGTTTTCATGAGAAAAGAGATTTGTGTTTTTAATGTTTAGAGTTGGCTGTGCGGCACACTCGTGCAATGCTTGATGGCTCTTCTTGGCTGGCTACACATAATTTATATTGCTAATTTAATTAGCACACAATTAGCTGTTATCCCTGTCTCGACGAAAAATACTTTCCCCCAACTTGTTGACTCACAAGAAATGATGCAATGTCAGCTGAGCCTGGGCATGAAGGATTTGTGGGAAAATCATTAAAGAAAATTCTAAATCAGACTTAGGGTTGGAAGAAAAATAATTCTTCTTGTCTAAAGTATAAAAGAATCAATTGTTGCAGTGTCATCAGGGTGTGCCAGACATTTAAACCTTGCCAGTGAGGTCATCAGGTGGTGCCCCGTGTGCCCAACAATAGAAGGATAACAACACTCACTCTGTTCAGCTTAATTACAGTTTCATTTTGCATTTTATTTTTTCTCCTTAACCCTTCATCCTCTATCTCTTCAGATAGTTGTTTTCAATGATTGTCAAAAAAAAAAAACTTTAATCAGGGGTCATTTAGTCCAAGAATGAACCTATATGTTGGTCAATGTTCATGTAAAAAAAATGTGAGATACCCGAACATTACACAAACAATTGCATTCACACTGGGTTGGCAAACTTCAATTTAAGAGGAAGACTTCATACAATCCTCATCTTTTTGGATGAATTGCTTTATATATTTTTGTATTGTGATTAGAAAAGGCTGCGTGAGAGGAACCGAGAAGATTCTGCGTGTCAGTTCTGAGAGGGTCGAGATGTTTCATAGCACTTAAAAAAGAAACCTGTAACACTCACCATACAGCCGAGAAAATTGATGTCTCTTCATTTACGCAGTACTGTATGTTTTTATTTTTTAATTTTTTTTTCTGTTCAGACGAGGGGGAGAAAGTAGCAGCAGCACTTTGGAGAGGTGAGGCTTTTTAAAGAAGTAAAAGGGGGTCGTAGGAATGGATGTGCCATGGGATTTTCTAAGAAAGGGATGATTTTGGCAGGTTTAAGTAGATGGTTAGAGGAGAAAAATTGCGATAAAAAGGAATAAGAAATAACAGTTTATAGCATGTGCACTAGCTTGCAGTGCTAAAGCTCTGGGAAAGTATCGAAATGTGTCTCGAAAGTTTCCATTTAAACGAAGAAAAAGGCTTTGAAACAAACCCAGTGATGTTTGAATTCGATCGAGAGCGTTGGTGTTGGGAGCGCACGCCACAGAATACTGAAGGGTGTCATAAATTTGTTACGTTTGCGTGACTGTGCCAGAGTGTGTGCGACGCGGGTCTGTGTCTGACTGTACACACACACGTACACTTACACAAACACACAAACAGTACAAACAATCTCTGAAACTCAACGCGCAGTATTTGTTGAGACTAGTTGACTGACGTTGGATTAATGCACACAGCTAACAGTACAGTGTGTTTATGTAAGTGTGTGCGTTAGTGTATGAGTGTGTGTGAACTAGTGTATAGGAAAGGAGACACTTGTATGATATATAGACAGTGCTAAATGTCCAGTGTTTCCACTTGGAGTTGTACTTAAGAAAACCTTGCAATTTGCACATCAGGAGGAGGAAGAGAAATGTAATTTTTTTATAAACTGCCCTGCCTTGAAACGAGCCAGAGACCACCTAAACACACTGGAGGAGAGCAGGGTCATTTTGTTCCTCGCAAGCCACTCATCAGCTTGTCGAGGAGATGTTTCTCAGTGACACACTTAATGTCAAACAACAGTTGAGTTTTTAGGAACAAAACCCATTGATAAAACCAGGATTTTCATCACGTGCCTGTCTACTGAATTTCCTGGCATTAGTGGAAGAAACACTCGTTTTCATGAGTCATGTTTCCTTGCTGTTGAGGGTGTAGGGGACTAGGATTCAGTTTTGAACACGGCCTGTGCATTTAGCCATCAGTTGTTTTTTTTTGAAGATGTAGCAGTTACCTCAACAGACATGTTTTGCTTAGTTGTCCAGGACTGAGCTTTCTCTCTAGTATTGGTTGAAATTGGCAGGTTTTTAAATCTCGGCTAATCGACTCGTGGTCATGCATGTAACAGTCTATGAAAGTCTATGCTCAGCTGTTAGCTTAGCATGTTGTGAAAGTTCTGGCACAGTTGTGTTGTACAGGCGGTAGAGACGCAGTCATATCTGTTGAGATTTCTACTCGGCTTCTGTCTTCATTTATTGGCAGAGGTTATTTTCTTGTGGTTCACAGTGTTGTCGGGTTGCCTCAAAGATGTGGATGGGTCCCTTTTTTTTCATCCCACTGATAATATTAGCTGTGTTTGGCAGTGCTGTTTCAGGTGGCTGGGTGATGCTCAGATGGATGTAGAATTGATGAGTAGGTGGAGTAGTTGGGGGCAGATGGAGGGTTATGGTGAGTAAGTGTGAGATTTGAAAATGCTTTATTTTTTATAATAAAACAGGGTTCGTCAGATCAACTTCATCGCAGGAGTTTATTTTAATTTCTTCCTTTTCCTATTGAAACAACGTCATCATTAGTTGTACAAACAGCCGAATGTGTGTTTGTGTGTGTGTGCATCCAAATAGTGTGTGTGTCTGGTTGTGTGTTTTGTAACTGTTCTGTACATGTCTCTTTTTTGTCCAACCCCCTTTCTGACATTTTTTGAAGCAGAACCACAACATGTTAACAAACATGTCAGACCATGAAACTTTTATTTTGAGTTCAAACACAAAAAGACTTCTTCTGCCAAAGCCAAGTGAAACTGTTGTTACTTTAGAAAGCAATAGAAAGAAAATATGCAGGCTCTCACATTGTTGTATAAGGGGATTACAAACACACATGCACACACACACAAACATAGTCATTCCACTCAATTTTTTTCTGCAATAACCATTTAATAATAGTCATCTAGAATTAAAACCAAAACAATTAAAACCTTTTCTTCCTGCAGAAAAAATACAATCTCACCATAGTCCTACAAATATCTTTTTTATTAATTATCTAAAAGAGCTAGAGCTAGCATCAGTCCTCTTATCATACAGTACATTTAAATCTTAAGTACATTTCATCTTAAGAGATTGCAGTTGCAACATTAGTTGCCAGTTTTTTCAGGGAAGTGTCTTGTATATGCAGTAACCGAAATATAACCCCACAAAACCTCCGCAGTCCCAGCTGGTCAGAGGACCTCTTTATTGATGTTTCAGGTACCCAATCATAGCCAGCCAGCCTCGCAAGCAACTCCTCCTGAGGCAAACCAATCAATTTACCCTCAACAACCGTTAGCTACCTTTCTGTGCGGCCTGGTCTGGACTGCCTGTTCCCTCCTAAATTCACAAAGCTTTTTATATTTGGCCTCCTTTTCACTACTGGCTTAAACTTATGTTTTAAGAGGAAATGCATGCTTTAATAATAGACTATATGAAACAAAGCAATCAGAAATGTAGACACATTGTGAATGCAGAGAAGGAGCAGCACTTTTTACGAGTGTTTTGGTCTAGATTCAACTTGATAAGATTTTCCCAAGTTCAACCATTTAACCCCTCTTGAGATATACCACAATGTGCAATACTTACATTATGTTTTCACCCTTTGCTGTGCCAAGTGTTAGTAGCATAGTCCTACTCCAGTGTCTCCTTCCTGTTAAAGGCTTGTGTGTTTGTCTGTCTGTCTAAGTGTGTGTGGCATCTTTCAAATGAGAGTCAGGATGTTTGTGAAGAGAAACAAAAAGAGTTTGTGTGTAACCTTTTTCCCCCCTGTCCTTGCGGCCTTCCTCAATTTGAGAGCATGTGTCATGTCTCCTTGGGTGTACATGTTTGTGTGTGTGACCTGTGGGTGCGTGTGAGTATGTGTGTGTACCGGATTGTTTCCTCTTCTACTCGTCTGTGAGATCATGACCTTCAATGGTTCACAGTGAGACCCACAGAGAAAAAAGAAACCTCATTGCTAGTGGGGACCACTTTTTTTTGTAAAAAAGAAAAAAAAAGAAAAAGAAAAATGGAAAAAAAAAACAGAGATGCACATGTAAGTAGATTTAAAAGACTTGATAACGTTTCAGCACTTTCTTATCCTAGGTTGGGCTCGGTCCTACCCCCTCTGTCTCAGACCGAAACCTTCCTTAGGAGTAACATTCATTCGAAAAAAAACAGACAGAGAGAATGAGAATGAAAAAAGGGGGGTGAATAGGGATGAAAAAGAGAGATGGTTTAAGTTTAAGTTTTTGCACATCACCTTGCGGTAACCTTGTGTTTTTGTATCTGTGCTCCATCTCGATTGGCGCCCGACGTGTTCTTGGGTCCAACGGGCCGAGGTGTTTGGTGGTTCCTTGGTTCTTTTCTTCTAGGAAAACCTTTACTCATGGAATACATCCCTTCTTTTTTGTGTTTGGGTTTGTTTGGAACCTTTTCCACCCTACACCAACCAGACTGTGCAGTTTATTATAAGGTTTAGTTATGTTCCCAAATTTGAGTTCTAATTCGACAAAAGTGTCTGTAGGCTGTTAAGCATGGCTAGGTTTGGTTGTGCGGTGTGAAAACGGTGCATAACAAACTTGGCTTTTTTTGCATTGTCTTTGGTGCAGGAGCTTTTCTGTGTTTTTGGTCTCCTTGTAGCACTCATTATAATGTCAGGGGACTTAAAAACTATGTAGAGAATGTGTCATTGTTGAGTTTTTATGACAAGCTTCCTCATCAGAGGAACACAGCTAATGTCTTTTTTTTTTTTTAAATTGGCTTCTTGCACAATTACAAATAAATGAATGTTGGTGTGTGAGCTTTGACTTTTCGATCAGAAAAAAAGGCATGTGTGCTCTTTGTTTTCTTGATGTTTGTACTTTAATTTTTGCAAAAAAAAAAAAGGATGTGTTTTTGGCACTTTGTCGTGTTTTAAAAGTGAACAGAATTCGATCAGGATTCCATTTTTCTCTCTTTTTTTTTTCTTTTTTTGTATGACGTCTTCAATGTCCATAGCGCTGGATAACCAACTCAGGCAGAAAGAAGAAAAACCCGTAGAGGCCCACGTAACAGTGTAGTTTCACCCCAATCAAATTGCATAGTGGGCTGGTTAAAATGGGTTATAAGTTATGTAAATGTATTACATACAATTTGATATGATTAACAAATGACTATTAACTATGAATTATTATTATAATACTCTGTGTATTATGCTGAGGACGGCTTGGATTACTCTTCAGTGTACTTTGTGTTCTGCCTCTGTGCAAAGCCACAAACACTTCAACAGGGGACAGGCTGTATTTCTCGTGACTTTTGAACCCTGCCCACTGCCACGGATGGGGTGGAGCTTAACTGTCAGCTGTGCTTCATTTTATCCCCCCTCCCCAAACCCCCTGTTCTGAACACTCAGCCCTGTGGCTAACAACCAGTCTGTCTAGATGTTTCTCTGTGACACCAAGTAAAGAACTGAGACTTTTTTGGCCCGTGGGCCGTTGGCAGAAAATACATCAGCACAGACATGCATGTCTGGCCTGCAGGGGGCAGCAGCAGCAGATCCCAGCCAACTTGTTTGTACTATATTGTACTCACCAAGTCCCTCTGTCTCACCACCCCTTTCCTCTATAGCAATGGAGAAACCCTGTAGGTGTATGTATTTGACATCTGTACAAATGCACCTCTTTGAAAAAGAAAATGAAACCTTGACATATCTGGAATCAATGCCTGACTTTTGTCTTTATTTGAACAGCACTAACAACCCCATATACTGCTTCTGAAATGTTGTTTTACCTTGGTGATGATATTCTTCTACAGTTGATTTTACTAACACTTTGGTCTGCTGGTTCTCCTTCAGTTGCGACGACACTCTGTTATTAGTGCCATCTCCATTCCCCCATGTAATGGAAGGGCTAATAGTTGGATAGGGGGGTGTAAACTTAAAAGAAATGTATTAATCAAGTTTGAGCCTTAAACTTAAACTTGAACCTTGAAATATAAACATGTGAACTTAGACCGTAGATCAACAAATCCAGAAAGTTTAATTCATTTAATTTTTAGGAAGTCTTTATTCCAAAATATATTTATATAGGGTACATTGAATTTGGCTATATTAATCACTAGAAAGTTGCATATAATGCTTTAAATTCTTTTTAAATAAATAAATAACATTCCCTGTCATGTCTCACTATCAGAGGTGCCCAGTGAACTGTCAACAGTTATGAATCTGAGGGAAGATTGATAAATGGATTCATTTACAGGACAAACCCAGAAGAAATTGACACATTGTCTTCATTCACTGGCCAGAATATCAATTTGGAATTTAAAGGAGTTTTTAGATACAACCAGATACAAAGATATTTGTATTCAAAAACTCTTTGAATGTCATGTCCTGTTGGAGTGGTGATATGTAAATCACTGTCTAAAATGTCTCTGGCTCTACAAACAAGATGTTTTTGGTCTTGTTAGGGTTCAGAACCAGTGTCAGATTAAACAGTGCATGTTGTAATTGATTAAAAGCTTTCTGGAGAATTTGAATGACTTAATGTAGATTGTAAGCAAAGTACAAAACTGTATCATCTGCATAAAAATGTTAAAATTTGATACAGCGGATGAAACATTGTTGACAGGAATTGGAAGAAATAAAAGAGGACCCAGTATTGAACTCTGTGGAACACCGTTTGATATTCACAAAAACAGAAGGACTATTAAAATCACACATTGCTGTCACTGTGAAATGTAGTCCTTGAATTGTGATTCAGAATCAAAACCAACCTCAGTAAGCCTCAGGAGGACAAAAGAGTTGTCAACATTATCAAACGCTTTTTAAAAATCTACAAATAATGCAGCACGTTATTTCCCTTTGTCAGCAGCAGAAATTATACCGTCATCATTAGCTGTACAAACAGTATTTTGTGCATCCAAATAGTGTGTGTGTGTCTGGTTGTGTGTTTTGTAACTGTTCTGTACATGTCTCTTTTTTGTCCAACCCCCTTTTGGACATTTTTTGAAGTAGAACCACAACATGTTAACAAACATGTCAGACCATGAAACTTTTATTTTGAGTTCAAACACAAAAAGACTTCTTCTGCCAAAGCCAAGGGAAACTGTTGTTACTTCAGAAAGCAATAGAAAGAAAATATGCAGGCTCTCACATTGTTGTATAAGGGGATTACAAACACACATGCACACACACACAAACATAGTCATTCCACTCAATTTTTTTCTGCAATAACCATTTAATAATAGTCATCTAGAATTAAAAGGGAAGTGTCTTGTATATGCAGTAACCGAAATATAACCCCACAAAACCGCCGCAGTCCCAGCTGGTCAGAGGACCTCTTTATTGATGTTTCAGGTACCCAATCATAGCCAGCCAGCCTCGCAAGCAACTCCTCCTGAGGCAAACCAATCAATTTACCCTCAACAACCGTTAGCTACCTTTCTGTGCGGCCTGGTCTGGACTGCCTGTTCCCTCCTAAATTCACAAAGCTTTTTATATTTGGCCTTCTTTTCACTACTGGCTTATACTGATGTTTTAAGAGGAAATGCATGCTTTAATAATAGACTATATGAAACAAAGCAATCAGAAATGTAGACATATTGTGAATGCAGAGAAGGAGCAGCACTATCAAACGCTTTTTAAAAATCTACAAATAATGCAGCACGTTATTACCCTTTGTCAGCAGCAGAAATTATATAATTTGAAACAGAGGTAATACCAGTGGCAGTGCTGCGATTAGCTGTGAAACCATGTTGATGTTGATTCAAGACATGATAACTAAAAAGGATGATTTGAGCTGATTATTTACTAATGATTTAATGATTTTAGCATGACAGGACAGTTTCGAAATTGAACGATATCAGTTTTATCACCACCCTTATGTAGTGGGACTACATGTGCAGTCTTGCAGATCTGAAGAATGAACCCAGTAGAAATGCACACATAATTTGTTCAGTAATTACACAGAGCTTTAAAATGTAAGGATCAAGTTTATCATCCCGGGTTGCTTAATGCATTCTAGAGCTTGCCTCTCTGCCCGAAGAGGAAGTAAAGGCTTGCAAACTGAACTAAAAAATAGTAGGGTATGAGAAGGGTGCATAATGCAGTGTTTGACTATTAGAAGCAAAATCGAGTACAACATAGCAAACTAATTCACAGCAGCAGCAAAATGAGTGTCAAAGGTATGTGATATGTCTTGATTCAGAAGAAGACAATAAAACAATTTAAAAAAAACTTAAGAAACTGTTAACCAAAATGTCAGGTATAATTGCATCAAGAAGTTAAGTTTAAAAGTTTTAGATGCAAGGCAGTTTATATCAAGTGTATCTGAAGTTTGTCAAGTGTTTGTTGGTGGCTTAGTCTAATGATCCTGATACACACAGAATAAATGCACACAGACACTAGGGATAAGTTCTACAGAAAGATCCACACAACTGAGGTAAGTAGCAGGGGGTCCCCGCATGCACTTTATTGCAACATGATTGCTCCAGGAACAGTTACAGGTGGTCTCTGGTTTTGCATATTGATTTGCATATTCATTCAAACATACATTTCAGCAGTTTTTCTCCAACTGATCATCCTCTTCTGAGTGTGTTTACATGCAATGTGTCAGCAGCATTCTTGTTGTTTTTCTGTGTGCGCGTCTGTCAGATTGTAAACGCACTAGGATCGAGTTGATTTAAACGCTATAATTTCTGTCGGAAAAATGTTTGAAGTCAAACTTTTTAAGTCACAACCTACAGGAGATAAACTGCTTTCTGACAGCAGATATCCTGAGAGAAACAGGTTGGGTGCTCACATAGAGGTGTCGCTGTGGGTGTGTTCATCCCTGTCAATTCCTGTCCTACTGTTGCACATTTAAACTCTGCATTTAATGCTAAGTGAACATTTGGCTGGACTGTTGCGTGACTCGGATGAAGGTGGTTCTCCTGCTCAGCTCTTTGAGCTTGGCAGCACCCACGTAAGTGCAGGTGGAGCGGAGGCCGCCCAACACATCAAGGACAGTGTGCTCCACATCTCCTCTGTAAGGAACCTCTACCGTCCTGCCCTCTGATGCCCTGACAGCGAAAAGAAAAGAATAAAACAGGATTGTTGATGCGTTTCAGTTATTCTTCAGCAACCGAGCCTTAGATTAGTGTCTGGACAGTGGACTGTCTGAGTCGTTTCGTAGGGGGATAACAACAACAAAAACAATCACAGACGTCTTAGTTTTGAAACTGAATACAAATAAACTGAGTATGAACCTTTAGAAGAATATCCTTTATGTATAAACTGAAATCAGTCTCTCACCTATACTCAGCAACTCCGCCCACATACTTCTTCATGGCTGTGTCAGAGCTCATGCCATAGAAGAGTTTATATTTCTTGCCGTTCTTCTCGATGACCTCTCCGGTGCACTGATCATGCCCTGCAAGCATTCCTCCCATCATCACAAAGTCAGCCCCCGCACCTGAATAGGCAAACACAGATAAGTTGTGTGGAGATTGATTTTTTTTTTTTGTATCAAAAGTTGTGGGTTGAGTACAAACCAAAGGCCTTTGCTACATCTCCTGGGCAACTGCAGCCACCATCCTGAACAGGGAAAAATGCAAGTCAATTCAAAGGTTTCACACTGAATCACGGTGCAAAAGGTCGGCGTTATTGCTGCATCGTCAAAAGAACGAGGATGCCCTCTACTGGCTAAAACCCAGTATTTCTATAAAGATTAAACACATAGATGTCTATGAATTACAAATGAATAATAATTTTGAGACAAGCCAACATTTTGATTTACATTTCAGAATAAATAAGGGCACAATTCAACATATTAACATAAAAAAGGCTAAATGGCTCTTCAAAGTCCAAAAAAAAACACAGAGCACTTTCATACTTTTATCATTGCTTTCAAGGCGAATGCATGTGAATGTGACACTGTACGACTTACAGAGATAATGTGTCCTTTGAGTCCATGGGCTGAGTCTGCACATTCAATCACGGCGCTCAGTTGTGGGTAGCCCACTCCTGTCTTGATCCTTGTCGTGCATACCGACCCTGCAGCAAACAGATTACACATTAGTATCTAACATCCTCTATAGTGATTCATTTCTGTTATCTTACAATTCTGCAAATTCAGGTAGAAATTCTACAGGCCGGAGATAAAGAAAAGCACCAGGCTGTCTGAAGGATTGTCCACCTATATCTTAATAACAGGCCTTGAGAGACACAGCCAGCCATTACAATGATTGATACTCAAACTTGTTTCTTCTTCTTAAACTTGTATTTAAATACAATGATTTATGCTTTTGGAGTTGGGCCATGTGGCTCTAGTTCTGTATGAGAGGATGCATACACTTTGTACTGTAAGAAGTCTTTAATCCATTTTTGAATATTATTTAAGTCTTTCTATTTAAGGTACTTGAACATCAACTATTTGCCTTTCTGCCTTTCATGAGTGTGTTTGTACGCCAGTTTTCTTTCTCAGTTGCATCTGGGTTTGTATGTTTGTTCTTTTGACCAAAGAGCGAGCACACTCCTCAGACTTAGACAGTGGTACACCCACCCACCTGGCCCGATGCCCACTTTAATGATGTCAGCACCGGAGAGGATGAGCTCCTCCACCATCTCCCCTGTTACCACGTTACCAGCCTGCAACGAAAACAGCGTTAGCCCAAATACAACATTTTCCTGAAGTAAGTCAAATACTTCTCAATCGTGACCCGGCCATGGCCTCTTACCATGATGG